ACTGCCTACCGTCCGACAAAATGGTGGCCCCTATCGACTCAAACGAACTACGGACCTCCCTCAACATCGCGGCAACCTTCCCTCGCTGCTCATCAATACCAGCGCCCCCGATGTCCTTGAAGGACGGATAAACTGGCGGCACTCCGCGAGGCATGGAGGCCAACTGCTTCTTGTGCCGAAGCCATGATTGCCTCCTAAATGAAGCGAACGGAATACCGGCATGGTATGCCCACTGCAAAAAAGTGTCCCTGAATCCGGCCTGCCCATCCGGATCGTACACCTCGTCCAGTCTTGACTGCCGCTGTCTCTTGCTCCCCTGTGGCACGCCCTCAACTCCACTCTCCACCGGCATCTTTCCTCGCGCAGTCATAACCACATCCTCTCCCGACATATCGGGTGTCGGGCCTGCCCCTCCACCCTCCTCACCGCCCCGGGCCTCTGCTCGCCTCGCCTCCTCGGCAAGGAACTCCTCCACCTCCTCCACAGCATCACGCTCCTGTGGTCGTGACTGTGTCCCACCCGTCCGGCCCCTGCCACTGCCTTGATGGACGTCCACGGCTCGTCTATCCGCGATATCATGCTCCCTCATGTACGCCATGATACCGCGGTGATGACGGTCATCGAACTCGTACTCTGTGTGGTTCCAAATGTCCACAAACACGTCCATCGTTGCCGCCGCGCACCTCTTCAGCTGCGTGAAGTGCAGCCGCGCCTTGAACAAATTGCCCTGCCACACATGCTTGCAATAATTGCAGCGGAGCTTGTAGTCCCCGTGCCTCTTCTGCCACGTCCCCATCCTCTGACCCTGCGTCACATGATGCCACACTCTCGACTTCCTGCGCAGCTCATCCATCTGCACGTCGGTCGCTGGAACGAAATCGCTGCCTCCAGAACCGCCCGCACCCCCCGTCATTTAAGACGACAACGGGCTAAACCCCTGGAAACTGAACCACCAACCCCCCCCCCCCCCCCCCCCCCCCCCCCCCCAACGAGTCTCGGGAACCGCTCCCGAGGACTTCGACATGTCCCGCCTTCGCAGCAGGCCCATGCGCTTCTCCGCGTCTGCCGCGGCCAACTTCAACCCCGCGTGGATGTCGACAACTCCACGCGGCCTTGAATATGTCCGCGGATCGGTCCGCGCGGCCTTGTTCGTGGCCGCGTCCGCGGCGGCCAATGGTGGGTGGTCGTGTGTGTCACCGTCTTTGCCCGCGCACCGCCAACTGTCGTTGAGACCAGAAAAAAAAAATAACAAAACACAATCAATCACTCGATCCACCAAGAAAATCAATCTAAACTAAACAATCAATCTAATCAATCACTGTACTCAATCAATCAATCTAATCAATCATTGCACTCGATCAATCAATGTAATCAATCAATCAATCAATCAATCAATCAATCAATCAATCAATCAATCACTCCATCACTCCAAGACATCAAGATCCTACTATCTTGAACCAATGAAGATCCTAGGATCTCGATTGGTTGGAATGATTGATTGATTTATTAATTGATTGATTGATTGATTGAACACACACACACACACACACACACACACACACACACACACACACACACACACACACACACACACACACACACT